GTACCTCATGGCCTCGGACCCCAACCTGCAGGTGCTGGGAGCAGCCTACATCCAGCACAAGTGCTATAGTGATGTGACGGCCAAGAAGCAGGTAGCCTGCTGCCCTGTGGACACCCCTACTGCCCACCTCCCTGGTGATCCCCAAGCTGACTTGGCACACCCCATCTTGCCCAGAGCCTTCTCAGCAGAGAATGGGTGGGAGGGGAGGATGTGCACACATCTGCACACTTCTGCCCACACCTGTGTACACCTGCCCACCTCTGCACACACCTGCATATACCTGCACACTTCTGCATACACCTGCACACATATATATCATCTGTGCACACCTTCACACATGTGCATACATCTGTACACACTTGAATCATCTGCATAGACCAGCACCATGTACAGATATCTACATATGTTTGCACATACCTGTTATATATTTGCATTCATTTGCATGTATCTGCTTACATATGTGTGCATCTGCCTGGATCTGCAACACATCACCTTTACAGGTTTTCATATACTTGAATACATCTACCTACCCCTGTATCATCTGCACACACCTGCACACACCTGCAGGTACACACACAAGCACTAACACCCACATAAACATATAGGTTTGGTCCCAGCCTTTTTATTAATTTTCAATAGAATTACACATACAAGTATCCACCCCCCAGTGAAAATGCCCTTCAAGTTATTACAGGACCAAAAGGAGCTGGTGTCAAGCATGCCAATAAGGCAGCAAATAACACCTTGCTAAGCCACACCCCCACGGGAAACAGCAGTGATAAAAATTAAGCCATAAACGAAAGTTTGACTTAGCCATATTGTACCGGGTTGGTAAATTTCGTGCCAGCCACCGTGGTCATACGATTAATGACCCACAGGCCCGCAGTCTTCATGCTGTGCCCAGGCTGGTGAAGCTCTTCAACCATGCCAACCAGGAGGTTCAGCGCCACGCCACAGGTGCCATGCGCAACCTCATCTATGACAACGCCGACAACAAGCTGGCCCTGGTGGAGGAGAACGGCATCTTTGAGCTGCTGCGGACGCTGCGTGAGCAGGACGATGAACTTCGCAAAAATGTCACAGGTGGCCCAGCCCCACCAACCTGTTCCGTCTTTCCTTGGTCCCCATGGCTGTTCTTATGTCTCTGGAGCCAGCCCCCGGCCCACAGGCCCATGTCCCCAGGGGTCCTCTGCTCTGCTGCAGCCCGTGATCCTGCAGGTCACACTCAGTCTGTCCCTGGTGGGGCTCCTGGGTGAGGTGCACATGCTAGGTAGGACCTGGGAGCTGTTGCTGACCACGGCCTCCACCCCACCTGCCAGGGACCCTGTGGAACCTATCCTCCAGCGACCACCTGAAGGACCGCCTGGCCCGAGACACACTGGAGCAGCTCACAGACCTGGTGCTGAGCCCCCTCTCTGGGGCAGGAGGGCCACCCCTCATCCAACAGAATGCCTCTGAGGCAGAGATCTTCTACAATGCCACGGGCTTCCTCAGGTACACGGGACAATGGTAGTGGGCTGGGAGAGGCTGAGGTGGTGGCCATGGGGAGGCTGGAGAAGGGGCATTAAATCCAAGGTCTGGATAACAAGGTGGAACCAGCCACGGGGCAGGTGACATGGCCAAACCAAGCAACACTAGAGGCTGGAGGGAAGCAGGCCACCAGGTGCAGCCACCCAGTGGAAGTCAGCACTCCAGTGGCTGCAAGCTCAGGTTTCACTAAACCAGAGACTCAGTCTGACATTCATAACCCACCCTGGGCACTTCGAGGAGTCAAGGGCAGGTGGGCGTGCAGAGGGACCGGGGCTAGGGGCAGGACTTGCTGGGGGCAGGGCCCAGTCACAGGGAGGAGGGGACCAGCACTCAGGATCTCAGCCCTTGCGTTTGGGTTCCTGTGGGGGTCTCTGATCTACCTCCACCCCCAGGAACCTCAGCTCAGCCTCCCAGGCCACCCGCCAGAAGATGCGTGAGTGCCACGGGCTGGTGGACGCCCTGGTCACCTACATCAACCATGCCCTGGATGTGGGCAAGTGCGAAGACAAGGTGAGGAGAGGGGGTAAGACAGTTACCAAAGGGGCCTGGGGCTTCCTGGCCTGCTCTGAGCACGTCCGCCCTCCAGAGCGTGGAGAATGCTGTGTGTGTACTGAGAAACCTGTCCTACCGCCTGTACGATGAGATGCCACCGTCAGCCCTGCAGCGGCTGGAGGGCCGGAGCCGAAGAGATGTGGACGGGGCACCACCCGGCGAGGTGGTCGGCTGCTTTACTCCCCAGAGCCGGCGGCTCCGAGAGGTGGGTGACAGCCTGGGTGGGTGGGAGCAGGGGTCGCAGCCTGACCCGGGCTGACCTCAGCACTCTCCCGCCAGCTGCCTCTCGCCACTGACGCACTCACCTTCGCCGAGGTGTCTAAGGACCCCAAGGGCCTAGAGTGGCTGTGGAGCCCCCAGATCGTGGGGCTGTATCACCGGCTGCTGCAGCGCTGTGAGCTCAATCGGCACACAACCGAGGCAGCCGCTGGGGCGCTGCAGAACATCACCGCAGGCGACCGTAGGGTGAGGGCGGCCCTGGGCACCACGGAGCAAGTGCCCCACCTGACAGGACCCACACCTGACCATGTGCTGGGAACAGAGGGTGCCCAGGGGATGGGAGCCTGATCTCCAGCTCACAGCCAGCTGGGGAGGGTCAGGGAACTCATGCAGACACGCGGTGGAGCCAGGAGAGAGGCAGAGAAGGCAGGGCGTGCAACTGAGGTGGTGGCTATGAGCAGGGCCGGAGGAACAAGAAGGCGGGCGTCCGAGGGCTGACCAAGAGAGTGAAGTCAGCTTCCTGGACAGGACAGACCTCCGGGACCCCTGAGGACAGGTTTAAGGGCAGGTGCCTGGGAGGTCTGTGGTGTGCAGGCAGAAGCAGGGATGCCCAGCAGGTAAGAGGCAGAGGCCAGCCCTGCCTCAGAACGCTGTAAGGACCGAGGGAGGAGGCCCAGCCTGGAATGCTGTGGGCGTCACGCTCTCCCCGGCCCCTCTCCGACCTGCAGTGGGCGGGCGTGCTGAGCCGCCTGGCTCTGGAGCAGGAGCGCATCCTGAACCCACTGCTGGACCGCATCCGGACTGCAGACCACCACCAGCTGCGCTCGCTGACCGGCCTCATCCGAAACCTGTCTCGGAACGCCAGGAACAAGGACGAGATGTGTGAGTCAGGTCCTCCACAGCCCGGGGCCCGCCTGCACACCGCCCAGCTGAGCTCATACCTGGATCCTGCCTGGGCTGGCCTCAGTGAGCCAGAGCCTGGGGGAGAGCAGCCCAGCCCCCTGGGGCAGCAGGGGACTGACAGTGCTGGGGGATGGAGGGTGGAGACTGACCCCAACCTCCCGGCAGCCACCAAGGTAGTGAGCCACCTGATCGAGAAGCTGCCAGGCAGCATAGGTGAGAAGTCTCTTCCAGCCGACGTGCTGGTCAACATCATAGCCGTGCTCAACAACCTGGTGATGGCCAGTCCCATTGCTGCCCGGGACCTACTCTACTTCGATGGGCTCCGAAAGCTGGTCTTCATCAAGAAGAAGCGAGACAGGTGAGCCCCACCCCTGATCCTGGCCCAGCGCCCCCTCCCTGCCTTCTGGCCACGCCTGTTACCCAGCTGACCCCTCTCCCCCAGCCCTGACAGTGAGAAGTCGTCACGGGCAGCCTCCAGCCTCTTGGCCAATCTGTGGCAGTACAACAAGCTGCACCGAGACTTCCGGGCGGTATGTTCCAGCAACCCAGGGCCACGGGTGTGGGACCTGGGCACAGATGTCCGGGAGGACAATCTGGTGGAGAGGGAGACACAGGAAAGGGGACCAGGAACTTGGGAGGAGCAGGGCTGGGCAGGCAAGCCTGCCCCCTGACTCTGGGCCTTCTTTCCCCAACCCCCGCTGCAGAAGGGCTATCGAAAGGAGGACTTCTTAGGCCCATAGGTGAGGCCTTCCTGGAGGAGGAGATGGACGTGGCCCAGCCTCCGAAGGACAGGCTCAGTTCTGTGCTGCCCACCGGCCAGCCTGGAGGAAAAGGCAGATGGCCCAGGGCCCCTCACGGAACCTTGTGCTACTTCGAAGGACCAGGGCCACCAGGGAGGGGGAGGGGGCTTGTGGCTGGGGACTTGGCTTCTGCAGGGCAATGGGTGGGGCAAGGCTTCAGGCTGCTCTGGTGCTCGGGGGTGACGGGTGACCAGGTCACGTGGGCAAACGTGGAGCTGGCCACAACCAGCAGTGCCTTGGGACAGCCAGCACTGGCACACTGGCAATAAAGTGAACACAGCAGCTTCAGCGCAGAGGGCTTCCTTGGCTGGGTGACCTGGGAGTCGGACCCAGGGTTCTCAGCGGCATCCCTAAGTCACACCTGTCCCCGAGGACACTCACTCCCTGGGCTCGTGGGCTCTCCAGCTCAGGCAACCAAGTACAGGGAGGGAGTACCCAATGGGGGAGAGCTGGCCAAGAGTGGAGGAGATGGGGCAGTCAGGAGAGGCAGCTTCGGTGCCCAGTGAGGCAGAGACTCATCCTGGGGACCCACATGCAGAGCAGTGATCCTCCTGGGGCACCTGCGGCAAGTGCACCTAGCACCACCTCTCTCTGCCCTGCCCCTCAGGCCTGAGGGTGCCCTGACTAAGGACTCTCATGCATCTGTCTGAAGCTTGGGGTCCAGTAGGCTCTAGGACCCCTCCCCCATCTCGCCAAGCAGGCCACTTGGTGGCAAAGTCCCCACTGATGGTTTTACAACAAAAGGCTTCTGCAAAGCTCAGAGTCAGAATCCCTAAGGGACCCGGATGTGTCTGGGTCAGAGTGGGACTGAGGATAGTCACGCCCCTACATGGGGAACCTGAGGAGCTGGCTGGGATGGGGGAGGATGGAGACAGCAGGATTGAGTGGATGGCCAGATTTGCTGACCAGGTGGCCATGGGGATGAAAAAGGTTGGGGTGAGGGGGCCCATCCAGGATGCATCCCCACTCCTGCCCCAGGAGAGACCAAGGCCCAGACAGGATCCAAAATGACTTTATTTTCTGGCACAGGGAGGGGCGCTACTGCACTCACTTTCCCCAGTGTCTCAGGGCCTCCCCTGCAACCCTACCCCACATCCCTGGTGACCCTGCTGCTTGGGCAGGTGATGGGGGCTACACATCATCCTCAGACACCAGGCAGTAGAAGTCCGTGCGGGCACCATAGTTGCGGGACCCAAGGTCCGAGATGTCCACCTCGCTGCCCCGGCCCCCTCCAAGTGAGACCCCACTTGCATGCGGTGGTGCTGATGGCTCCCCAAAGATGGGCCCTCGGACACCTGGGGAGGGGTCCACCATGCCTAAGCCTGGGCTGCCCTCAGCCTGACGGTCATCCCCTGCTCGCCCCTCTGTAGGGTGGCACATGAGATCCTGGGGGGTTCCCAGCCAGGCCTTAGGCCCAAGTGCCTCCAGGAAAGAGAGAGTAGGGAGTGCTGGGGGGTGGAGCCCATCCAGGGGCTGCAGGAGGGAGTCCCCGCCTGGACCCCCTTTGTGGGCTCCTCCACCCTGTACAGCACCCCTCCACCCCAGGTGGAGCTTCTCAAGGTCAGGCGTGAGGCCAGGTGTGCATACCCAGGTCCCCCTCGGGGTCAGGATCCAGCTCCGGGTCCAGGGCCCGACCCTCTGGGGCATGGCCCCGCACAATCAGCATGGGGTCCTTGTCATCCTGCAGCCGCGTCTGGGGGTCGCCCTCCATCGCCCTGTACTGCATCTTCCGTGGCAGCGCCAGCTGGAGCTCCTTCCAAAAGTCGGAGGAAGGCGTCTGGGGGCAGGGTGTGGCAGTCAGCCTGTGTGCACGCAAGGTGGGATGCAAACACCGAAGCCCTTGGCCACCTGGGCCCCAGGAAGCACACCCACCGCGCGCGGTCCCAAGGCTCCGGGGACCTCTAAGGAGGCCCTCATCAGACAGCAGACCACGGAGCCCACCCTCGGGTCCTGTTCCCAAGCCCCCAGTGCCGCAGAGCTCCGTGGAAGCCCCTCTGGGGGGCCCACCCCCTCCGCACCACAGAGCCGGGCCTCCAAAGCAGCAGCGTCACCAGGTGGCGGTGCTGGCGCAGCAGGCGGAGCGCTGGGTGCACGGAGTCGCGCCTCTGGCCCTCGAAGGTGATGAAAATGGGTCTGCGTGTGAGTTCCAGCAGCCGGCACAGGCCCTCCCTACGGGGCGGCACCGTCAGCGGGGGAGCGGCTGGGTCCCCCCAACCCGG